CATTATAAAATGACTATAACTCAATAAGAAAAAGTTTAAAAAAAGAAAAAAGAAAAACAATATAGGCAAGGTTCTGCCCATGTTCTTTGTTGACTTAAATTATTTTTCTGTTTAATTTTCCTTGATCTTACAAGTGTAAACACAAGTCACAATCAACAAGCCATAACTGCAAAATTAAAATGAAATGTTTAAATCAGCTAATTTCTATGTAACTTACAATAGTCTTGATTGACAAAATGAATACAAATTAAACTACTTTCCTTTGAATATCCAAATTATTCAGAGGTGGCTCAGAGGGACACTTTGCTTTGATTCTACTCATCTGACATAGTGAGGGCACACAGTGGATTTTTAGAAGAAAGGTGAAATTTAGCTTAAAGAAAGTAAAACTTAGATATTCCAGAGAAGACTAATTTTGCTTAATTGAAATCCAACGGTCAATTAATCCAAACAAAAAATTCTTCCTGAAACAATATTTTTAAAAACTTTCAAAAACCTCCTAACATAGTTTTGTCCCTTAGTGAACTTGCCCTATGATGATTGAGAATCCTGTAGCAAATGAGTTGAGGCTATGCTAACACATCCCAATGCTCATTATGTGCGAATACAGACATAAATCTGCAGTATGTGAAAGAGGCATATAGAGAGCATTGAATCTGGATGAACAGCAGTCACAACTCTCGAGTTTGTGGGGAATTAAATCAATTTTAATGCTTTATTTCACTTTGATTTGCCTCTTTCTTCTGAAAAATTTTATAAAGGAGTAATGGACTAAATACAAATAATTAAAGTATCATAGAATATAGAATATTGTTAAATAATTAAAATATTGTTATAGACTGTAACAAAAACAATTATAGACCAAACTGTGCTGTAAGCAAAGTTTTCCTGCTGCATACATTCCTACTTTCGGTTCCCCTACCTCCTTTTAGTGCTTTTTGTTCCCACCCCTACTCCTTCCCATGGGACTGCCTGGGGCAGATGCCCCAGGCCCAGGCTGTTTTGGATGGTTGTGCAGGATGTTCCAGCACAAAGGCATCCACTTTGGTGGTGTGTGAAGTCTGAAAGCCAGACCCTGCTCCAGTTGCCCCCTAGCAGAGAAGCCCGGAGCAGGCAGCATCTGCCCAGAGGGGTGCCCTTGACTCTTTATAAGCGTCTCATGGGTC